AAAGAAGTCTAAATAGGAGTGTAAAAAGTGTGTCTTTAGTGACATCCTAGAACCCATTTTCCTGTAGTTCTCGAGCACATCATCAATCATCAAAGCATAGTTTCATCTCTATGATTTTCTAAGAAAGTTTTGACAACCAGTTTGAATGATTTCCAGGCAGCAAGTTCTTTCTGTTTTAACATTGTCTCAAAATCATCATCCATCAGTACTTCCAGAACCTGTGGCCCAACAAACATACCACCTTTCATTTTTGCTTCACTGATTTTTGGAAACTTGTTAGACACATATCTGAAATCATTACCATCTTTGTTCATTTCTTTTACAAAGTTCTTAATTAGTCTCACTTTAATATGAAATGGGAGCAGAAAAATTTTGAGGATTCACTAAAGGTTTATATATATTCGATATTCTGTTTCCCTGGTATGTTATTCTCTCTCATTGGCCATTCTTTCTTTTTGAAGGGATTTTCATCATCTCGGTCATCCCAGAGACACAAAAAGCAACAATGTTTGGTAAACCCACTCTGCAGGCCTAGCAGGGGTGCAATAACTTTTAGATCACTACAAATGTTCCACCTATTTGAAGTATGATGATCATACTTTGATAAGTTTGATAGCTTTGATAAGTTTCTTCCATGTTCACAGCACGAGCAACAGGAATCGATGGCTTAATGTTCCCATTGTGCAAAAGTACACTTTCAGACTAACTTTAAATGTATTGATGGTAAAAAAAAAATCTCCATTCTTGAGGATTTTGTTTTGTACCTAATTATATCATTAGGGCATCAACATTTGTACAGAAACACAAAATATATTGTATGCTGTAGTGAAAAGCAATACTTTGAAGCCAACTCTGGTATATTGAAACTTTTGTTTCTGTAACTAATAACTTCCATTGCTGTAAACGAGAGCTAAGAAGTTTCCCATGCTGCTGTGATAGAAAAGTCACGAATCAGATCATTTAGCTCTTTCTGTGTGATCAGATGAGGCAGTTTATGCTGAGGTGCCACGGAAATAAAATTGCTAGATGAAGAGGATGAATATGATTCATTGTCTTCTTCACAGGATAACTCATCTTTTTCTCAATTCGGTGGTGGATGTGGCGAGGGAAGACCATCGTCATGCAGTATTGGTTTCATTACAGATGTAATATCTGAATATATAATGTATTGCTTAATTTTGCTAGAAATATTAGTCATTCAAAAATAACACTGAGTTACATGATCTTTGGGCTCATGCCATATCATGAGAACTGCAAATGGCATACTTACTCTTTTCTTATTCAACAAGCCAGATGTGCAAAGCGTACAATACACGTGTTTATCTTGGTTACAAATTTTACACCCAAATTAGTGGTAGTATTAAGCTACCTTTACCTTGTGTGTGATGTTTTTCTTTCGTGAAGCTGTAACATATTTTCCACAAATGTAACAGAAGCTGTTTGGGTTATTTTTGCACTTTTGGACTTTATTTGAATTGGATCCAGCCTGCATTTCAAAAGATTTTCTAAAAAATATAAACTATTTTATATTTACAGAACTTGAGTCTACAATATTTTAAAAACAAAGTTTTGCAGGATTTTATTATGTCGCAGGTATGATGCGAGGAAGAAGATCGAATTTTGTTTTGACTGTGCACGGAGCGAGACGAAGTGATCAACTGAGTAAATGAGAGCAAATGAGACAGATACGTCTGACTCTGCCCCTTTTATGCTCGGTCGAGGAGTTCTCGAATATTCTAGCAAACAGAGCATGTGAGCGTGGGAATGAAACAAAAGTGTTGCAATTCGCACAATTATATCGAGATTTGGTTTGTTTTGAATTTCACGCAAAACTAAACGAGGGCTATCTGCGTTAGGCGTCCTTAATTTAGCAGTGAAAGACTAGAGGGAAAGCAGCTGTCATCACAACTCACTGCCAACTCTTGGGCTACTCTTTTACCAACGACTAGTGAGATTGACTATAACATTATAAAACACCAAGGGGAAATTTGGTGGGACGGGGATTCGAACCCGCGACCCTCAGATTGCGAGTCAAGCGCCCTAACCACCTGGAATTATATCGAGAACAAATAACATATATGAACAATATATTTGGAAGTTTACATCAATACAATACAGCCAATGTTTGAAGTTATTAAAAATGTATGCCTTTTACTAGGCCCTCTCAGAAGTTAAGAGAGGCCCGCCACTTCTATCTTTTGAGGCTGTAGCTATAATAAAAATAAAAATGATGGCATATGAAAACAAAATAATATAATCATTAGCCCAAACGTAAAGTTAAACATAATTTGAATATTTTTATTTAACATTTAATAAATGCTTTTCTAACTTTTTTCTGTACAATAACACAAGTGGCGAAACTTAACAAATGCAAAAAATAACAAGTATTTGAATTTGAGGCCCCCTTTGAACTTGAGGTCCGAGCCAAACGGCTCCCCTAGCACACACCCCCCCCCCACCCCTGTAATTGACCCCACCTTTTACCCATGAAACTGTCCAAGTAAAGTTGTACAGATAAAATATTGAGATATTACACAACTCAAAATCTTGAGGTGATGGACAAATTCTGACTACATTTTATAAACAGCACTATCAAATTACCACGAATCACTTGAGTTTTCTCCGGTAGGAATATTTCTGCTGCCCAGTGGTATTACTCTTTCATAATTTAAATAATCTGTAAGAAATAAAATGTTTTAAGCTTCACGTGGGTATAGATCGTTACAAGAAATGTTAAAATTATGACTTAATTTTTTAACTTGATCTCGCAATTGCCAATAAAAATGATAGAACCGAATTTTGATTTATAAATTTACCAATCACATTTTTATGTTGTTAATGTGTCGTGAAATTTTCGATTTCGTGTTCCATATTGCCCTCTATAGTTTCGGAGAATTCAGGGAAATATTGTTTTTAAAAAGTTCGGACTATTTAATATTGAGGTAGGTTAGAGTTATTAATTAAGAGAGATTTTTGATCTAATCGATTATTGTGTTTGTTCAATTGTTTTTTTATGTATGATTATGATTTACGTGATTTCATAACATTTATCATTTTATGATAAATTAAACTTCCGATCTGAGTCGGACAGAGTAGGCTACATTAAGTACATTATTACTAATACTATTACACATACTTCGAAGTTAGAATAGTTTGACTAAAACAAGAAAACAACATAGTAATGAGAATAGCTGCTCAAATTCACTCTTTTAACGTTATTGCTAGGAGAATTAATCTTTTAACGTTCTTTTACTTTAAGTTTAACAGGTTACTGACACTGGCATACTACTTATTCTGTTGAGGGTAACGGGGTGGATTTGGTATATCTGGATTTTCTATTTCTGAAAGCATTGAAAAGGTGTCACATGAAATTAAAGGGCTTGTTAAATTATCTCGATGGGAGTATATGATAAATTGGCTCATTTGGTCAAAAAATGGTTGAAGAGAAGAAAGAGGTGTTGTTACAAATGGAGTTCATTCTTCAGTCAAATTGGTTTATTGTCCAGATAGCTTAAGTCTCCCTGGTGTCTCCTTGATCTACATAGCAATAACATCCCTTCTTCTCCCAAAAATGAGTGACACAATGGCAGCCTCCTGGAGATACAAGGATTCGCTCTAAAGCCTTGATGTGTTTCTAAACACAGTATCAAAGACACTGATTTTAAATGACATATGAATACAGAATTAGATGGGTGCTAAATAAGACTGGTTGGTTGGTGGATACAAGGTAGGTGAAGTTGGTTGGTCAGTCACCCATCCATTAAACATATGAGGTTATTACCAATTTCAAATGCTGTATATTATTGGGTCTCAAAGACTGTATTCCTGAAATCAATCTTTTGAACTTGGGCTGTATGTTACTTAATATCACAAGTGGGGTACTTTGGGGCTCAGTGTTGGAACCTTCTCTGTTTGATGTACATCCTTGACATAGATGAAGGAATGATCAATAAATTGTGTTGATATTGTGGTTTAAGATATTGCTTGCCACAAAGGAGGAGGATGCTGCTTTATATAAGGATTTAGAATATTTGGTGACTGGGGAGTTGGTTGAGTAAATGGTAGCTCTACTAGTAAAACTAACTAAGTGGCAGATGGTTTTGAATTATAATAAATGCAATTAATGCATGTGGGGTATTATAATTTGGATTATAAGTAAAAGTTTGATGGTATTTACCTGAACAATGTTATGGAAGAAAATGATCTTAGTGTTTCCTTTAACCAGTGTTTTAGTTCAAGCCATCCAAGCAAAGTACTGTTTCTAGCAGTAGGGCAAATAGGACTTTGTCATATACTTACAGAAATATTTAAACAGAATATAAAGAGTCATCATTTTATTGCATAGCCCACTGTCATTGGTTAGATCTCATTTGGAGTATTGTGTTCATTCTTGAGCTTTTTACCTTAAAAGGTTTAAGGACATTAAATAGTTGTAAAGGAATAAAAGGAGGGATACTAGGATGATACTTCAGGTGGAGTGGTTGTCATAGAAAACAGGTAAAGATCTATGAAATTTTCTCTTGAAAAAAGAAGAGTTATGGAGGATCTGATTATTAAGGGAACTTATAGTGTGATGCATCACCTTTTTTTCATACTTAATGGCAAGAATGATAGGACAAGGAGACGTAAATGCAAACTCTGGCAGTGTAAGAGTATTCTTAGCTAAAACAATTGTATTTTTCTAACAGGATAACCAGTTGGCCTTTGGAATGGGTTGTCTTTAGATATGGTGAATTTGGTAAATTTAATTTTAAGGGAGTTTAAACAAAGGCTTTTTGAATACTTAAATGATAAGAGCTGACATTTAGATTGTTATTTTAATAGTTTAGTTTGATTCAGTGGATGAAACAACCTAGATGGACCAACAGGTCTCTTGTCCTTAAATTTTATGTTTATCATAATTCATTAATCTAAGTTATCACTTGATACATACCTAAACCAGATAATCATACATCTCCCTTCTGCATATCTCGGACTGACATCATATTTCAATAATGAACCAAAGTTGTATGCTCAAAATTAAGGTGGGTAATTTCATACATTTCATAAGAACATATGTAGGTAAAATAAATTGCTTTCAGGGACCCAGAGGCAGGGATGATATTTTAAATACTAAATAACTGGTAATTGCATTACTTAATACTTAGCAATGGGATAATTAACTTTCATCATTGTTCCAATAAATACATGTGTAGGTATTTTTGAGTAAAAGAGAAATATTCCAAAATATGATCACTTATCAGAAGTTTCATGGCATAAAGAAATTTAAACATGCATGAATTATAATTCAAGAAGCTATCTAAATTGTTAACATAATAAACAAAAACTGTTAAAAGAACCCACTAGTCACATCACTCCAGTTAGAAGAAACATCATTCGTCATCACTTTTTTTTTCTAAAGCCAATTTTCTATCAATCATACAAGTTTTTTCAGTGATAATAAATGAATACTAATTTGTAATTTATTGTTGTTGTTTTTTCTAAAGCCCATTTTCTATCAATACACAAGTTATTTTTAGCAATAATAAATTAATACTAATTTCTAATTAATCTCTTGTATTGAAAATTATCTGAGTGAAAATCAGTTAAAAGCAAAATGAGGTGCCCTCTTCCAAAAAAAAGAAAATGGATGTCTTAGCTGCTAATTCGAAGAAAACCCTGTTTTAATTAAATATACTATGCTGACTACTTTTGATAATTTCTAATTTTTCAGATGCTTTTCAGTATTATCTGTAACATTAAGTTTCAATGCTTTACTAACATCACCTACTGTATAATATTTTGGATTTTTCTGACACTTTCATTTCAAAACCAATGATCACTTTAGTAATCTTCCAGTAATCAAGAATTTCACCATTTCCAAGTTTCTTCTTTCATAACTCCTTCAAGGATTTAGGATTGATCTTTTAAAACATTTAGCAAATTGTTTTGTTTTTATGGGTAACCTCGGTGGATAAATGATCTTCTTTCGATGGGCTCATCCTTATAAAATTGATATGCAGGAAGAAAAATAGTACATATTTGAATTGTTTCTATTTATAATCCAACTCTACTGATATACTTAGAAACATTTTTTTTTCTCATTACATTTAGATTTGTGATAATGGAGAAAGCCAAGGACTTGGAGAAATGTGAAGAACTCCTCAGCACACTGACAGCACTCCCAAAAAGTGTGATGAATTATCTTTATGAAGAAAAAGTTTTGAGTAAGCAAGATATTGACACTATCAGTTGTCTCACATCATATGAAAGTGCTAAAAAACTAATTTTAGAGCTCTTAGATAAAAAAGGGCCTTCAGCATTTAGAACTTTCATTCATATAATGCAGTCAAATTGTGAAGACTTGGATAAAAAAATTGAGCAGATGACTTTAAAAGAGGAAATGTGCTCAAGTAATTACATGTCAGGTAAGTTGTAGAGGTGACTTGACCACTAGCTACCCATTTAATATACTTTATGCCTTTAGTTTAGTTTGCATATTTAACAGAATTGTAAACATTTAGTTGCTCACTTCCAAGACTTGTATACCTCTATTTGCTCATTTATCAGATTTGTATATACGTAGCTGCTCATTTTTCAGACTTGTTGTGGGACAGTGGTAAGTTTATGGTCTTACAATGCCAAAATCTAGGATTTGATTCCCTACAGTGGACACATCAGATAGCCAAATGTGGCTTTGCTCTAAAACAAACAAACCAGATTGTCTTCCTTGATTTGCTGTTTTCCCAGAATTTATGCATATAGTTGCTTTTTCCTCCTACTGTTTCTCAGATCAAATGGTATTTTTTTTTAAATGGAATCTTGTACTGTTTTCTACGTTATCATGTTGTTGTGGAGTGGTATATGAATTTGTAATTTACTAGCAGAGTACCCAGTGTTGCTCGGATGAAAATGGCTTTAAATATCTTGAGTTGTTTTGATTAAATCAACCATATTAATCAGGATTTTTTTACCTAACTAATTATATTGATTAAAATCAATAAAAATAACAATGTAGAAAAAAAAAAATTGCTAAAGCTAGTTTAATCAAAGTACAACTGGATACTTTGCTCCTGCTTCTTGCATGACATTTCAAGTTTCCAAAACAAAATTCTCCATCTTTTTTGGTGTCCTGATTATTGCTGTTTGGTCAAGTGTTGTTTACAACATATTCTTTTTTATCATTCCATTTAATGAAGAACTGATTTATTCTCTTCTTGTAGCAACACAACATAAATGAAAATTTGCCAATACCAAATGTTTTTGTAAAGTCATTGTATAGCTCATTCTTGTGAGTACACACAAGCAAAGCAAAAGATATGGCTGAAGCAAGCCTATTTAGTTGAGGGAGTGTGCACACATGTTTGAGAGAAAGTACCAGCATTTTTCAGTTAAGGAGAGTTAGAGAGTAGGAATGTATGTGTTAAGGAAGAGGGGGAGGAAAGAGCACAAATGAAGACTCCACAAAGTTTTTAAATTGTTTTAACACATAATTGATTGTGGATAGAATGATTAGGAGACATCCTCACACAGAGAAGAAATGTAAATAATAGCTGTCTTGATCACACATTACCAAAAAAAAATCTGGCCTTTTCAATTTGAAAACAGTTGGTTGTCCTGTTTGTCAAAAATTGCTATATTGGTCATTTTGGCCCTCAATTTGCAGCATCAAAATGGCCTCTGAGGCCATGGTCACATAGCCCATATTACTTCCCACTCAAAGTTGTATCTGTACCCCGAGGTGTTTAGTTTATAGCTTTAAAGATATGGCTGTGCATAAGGAACAGACCCACAGAGAGGGAGAGACATTCGTGCTTATATATATAAATTTTTTATGCTAAACTAAATGGTAGTTTTGTGATGGAAACATTTGTTGAATATTTTTATATTTTAATTTTTGCAAATAGATTCCATTGTTCAGATGTAGTTTAGTTGTAGGTAAGTCTAGGATTTTAATCAGTTGTGATTGCAAAAACTAGTATTTCTTCAACAGAAGATTTGGAAAAATGTGAAAGTATGAAAAACAAGATTGTCCTTATATTAGCTAGGTCCAGAGGTTCAAGTTTTACATAATACAGAGTCCTTAAAAGTTATTATGAGGCCAAAGAGTTTGGTCATGAGTCTACCACTTGAGGTAGACTTGGCTGATCTATTTCTTTGGGTAAAGGTGTAGTATACTCGTTAAGCTTAAGTATGGCAGTTTTCAAGCAAAATATACGTTCACCAGTTCGTATTAAAATTGTATTATATATGCAAGTTCATGCTTGTGAAATAATAACATTAATGGTAAATTTTTTTGACTGGATGGTTTAATGCTAACACCATGTTTTGGGATTTCAAAAACACATGGCTACCTTGTAAACTGATGGCATATGTTGTATATTTTAGGCTTGAGGCTATAGAATATATACTGCCTTTTGTTTCCATGATATTGAAACACAAGTCTAAAAGCCTGTGAACTTTCTTAAAATGGACCTAATTTGTATTGGATTTAACAATAAAAACACACAGTGACATTAAGGGAGTGAAGTGACTTGTTTTATTAATGAATACAAAGTGTTTATGTGCAATGACTCAATAAAAAAATAATTCCATGTTCACTTTCAGGGCAAAAATTGTCTTCAAGTTAAATTTCCTGTTTCTCTAATCTGTTTAATTAGAGTAATAGGAAATGATGTTACACGTAGCACCATCTAGTTAGCAAGGGAAGTGTAAACTATTGATGCATTTTCTTACCATTAGTCAAGGTTAGTGAAGGTAATGTTACATATTAACTATGCTAAGGCTTACAGTTTGATGGCACACAGTATTTATTATTGTTACCTCATGTTCCATAACTTTATACAGCTTAAATTAATAAAATCATCACCTTCTCAGAGCAAATACAAGGATCTGAATCACTGTAGATTGGTTTATAAAAGTACATTTGAGTAATGGCAGCATGGAAGGGTTAAAAGAATGAAAACAACAAAGAAAAATGAAGCTATTCTCTTGAAACATAAACATTGGTAATACTTCATATGTGCTCAACAGGCTTTTGCTGACCTTTGCTTGAAACATAAACATTGGTAATACTTCATATGTACTCAACAGGCTTTTGCTGACCTTTACTTGAAACATAAACATTGGTAATACTTCATATGTACTCAACAGGCTTTTGCTGACCTTAAGTGTAGGACAATTAAAAATAAGGTTGTTAATTTCAGTTACTGACCTTAATTCAGGAGACTGAAATAACAAACAAGGCTGCTCTTCAGGAAAATTAAAACATTTGGGTTCTATATTTTGTCCTAACTTTGTACCACAATATGAATGTTTCAAAATTCATACTTTCAATAGACAACCATGTAAAGGCTTTATATTTCATGCCTTGTGTCTACATTCAAGATTCTCTATCCCAAGGTGAAGGGTACGTGTTTCATTGTCACTCTCTGCCACCAGGTGAGGATTTAAAATACATTTTTACATATGTATGGATGCTTTTCTGGTAGTGACCACATATCAACATAGAGTTAACTTTGGTATTTTCATTGTATATTTAGCTATAACTTATAATATTTGTACATCCTTTGGAAAATATTTTTCCTACCTTGTACCATTTTTCAAATGTTGTATGTTTGGCAGGGTGGTAATATATTGCCCAAACATTTCCAGACATTTAAGTAGACATATGCTTTGTCCAATGTGACACTATATGTCCATTCGTTGCATGTTAGTACTGCCTGTACAACATTCTGAAAATTGATGTGCTCTCAAGCCATATACTTTAGGAGAACTTGTTTAAAAGATAAAGGGATGTTCCTCCATTCGGTTTAACTGCAATAGACCGTGTGTTTCTGTATTAATACTGATGACAAGCTTTTTCTTACCTTCGGTGTGTGTGGTTGGTAGCTCGTCTTGGAGTAACCTGTTTTTCTCTGTTGGAATCACACGTTTCCTTGCTTTACCAATATTGTTTGATACCATGGAGCCCCCCTTCTTTTAAATGCTAAAATTTTGTGCCTTGTATGTTTTATAATTATGAAATAGAAGAACTTTATGTTGGTTAGTTATGTAATGTAACTTTCCCAGAAATCATCAGTTTTAGGTGATACCCGCAGTTGCAAATCATATACTTCAAATACATTGCAACAAGTGAGTCAGTGCTTTTAATTGGTGTAATTTCAGGCCATGGAGATGGACAGAGAAAAGGTGATTTTTTTGTGATGTGTTGCAAATAATTTTAATGGTGATTAATAGTCATAACGTTTAACACAAAAGTCAATTTGTGTACATGGGTTTTTATAATTTAAAATGTTAAATGTTAATGTCTTGATCATCCATTTTAGAGTAATTTTTTAAAATAAAAATCATGAAACACTTGGACTGTAGTTTGGGCTAATGCATATCATCAGTTTTACCTCTGATATTCATTGGTAATTTTGGCAGAGATAAGGGCTAAATATCAACTAAAGAACTCCTGAAATTTCAAGTGAATACTGAGTTTCTATAAATGAGAAACTGAAGGTTTAGATACAAAAAATTGTATCATTGTCACTAGTAAGTTTTAATTATGTTCTTTAATATACAACAACTAACCATAAGTGTTCAACTCTCAGTGTTGCATGTAAGTAAAATTTTGCAGTTTGAAAACATGGGCTATTTATGCAAGTTGTCTTTTGTCACGTAAAATGCTATTTTTTAAGTTAAACGATGTATGTAAGATAAACAGACATTTAAGTAGTACAGAAAACTTTATTATAAATGCATTAAAAATTGAAATAAAACATTTTGGCAACCAGAGTATGTATCACTGGTTTGCTCTTCCAAGCAGTACTGAAGAGTCATGATTTGAAGAATTAGTTTACTACGGAAGGGCTAACAAATTGAAGAATAGATTAAGCCTTATGTCATTTATAAATTATTATCTTTCTTTACTATATTGTCCCCCGTTGGGACAGCAGTAAGTCTTCGGATTTACAATGCTAAAATCAGGGGTTTGATTCCCCTCAGTGAACACAGCAGATAGCCCGATGTGGCTTTGCTACAAGAAAAAACACACAAAACACACTTTACTGAAATTACAAATTTTAGTGAGGAAAAGAAAAATTCACAAAGGAGTTGTACAGTGATTATCTGTTGTTTGAGATTACTGTTGAACTGAAAATTATGCCAGTCTAATTTTATTGACCAACTTTAAGAAAGTGCTTACTGTATTGAATTTACACTTTTTTTTCCTTGAATGGTATTAATAAGATGTTAATACACAAATATGAAGAGCAGGCTCCTAGTAAACATAGCAAAACAGCACCAAAATGTCAAGTACTGGTATGCAAGTTTTCAGCATTGAAGTTAGGTTCAAGAAGTAAAATACTCATTATACTAAAGCTGATATGGAACATTGCATTATCTATTTTGAAAGTCTATTTGTGACCATTTCACACACTCTGACAACCCATTGTTCGAGAATCACTGCTCTAGCCTCTCTCAGACAGATACAAGACTATTATAATAGTATTTTCTGCAGTTTAGTGCTCTGAAGTAAAGTGCTATTAAGAGTTATTTTGTATCATACTTATTAATAAATTAAAAGTTTTTAACTCACAGAAAGGAGATACCTTTCTTTTTATAATTAATTATTAGATTAGATGCTATGACTGAAGCATTTAAATGAATAACTAGCCATTATATATTTAAAAATTCTTAAATCACACAAAGCATATACATTCTTGAAAACATAATAATTTACTTGTTATTCATAAGATCCAAATTTGCTTATTCAAAATTTCACTAAACAGATATTCTGTGTAGTTTGTTTCTTATTTTGTCTTTGATGTCAACTAACCTTTGAAATGATCAACTGATCAAGATAAATTAAGAAATCCAGCATTCTTCACCAATTATTTTCAAACTGCATAGACGTAAAGTATGGATACATTAATAGTCAGCCGTCTCCTCTTTGTCGCTTTGATCATTGTTTCAGTTGGGGAACTCACTTAATCAGGCCCATCTTTCCTTTCACCCAAATTTGGTTTTCCACAATCATCACTTCTCTTGGAGATCCAAAAATGAATAAGTACCTGTAGCTGTAAGCAAGTCAATGATCTTAGTATTTGGATACAAAGCATGATGATTTAGTGACTAACAACAAGTGCATAGCTGCCATCTTGTTTCAAACTCTTGTCTGAAGTAATGCTTTAGTACTGAGTCATGTTGTACTTTAGAAAGTAGTGTTGAAATGTTCATTTAGCAACTTTAGTTGAACACTTTATTTTTTTAACTAGACTGAGATTTGATCATGATGTGAACTTGTAAAATATATATGCACATATTTGCAATTGTGTCCTCCTTTAAAAAAAAAAAAAAACTCATCTGAAACTGATGAAATGAAATAAACACACAGATATATATCCTTGAAGTGGACTAGTTAAACATGATAAGGACCTTTTAGAATCCCTGGAGGACCAGTTAGAAATTTTGTGAAGAACCTTTTAGAAACTTTGCAAATTTTGGACCCTGGTATGTAGCTTTACAAGGAACAACTTGTAAAATTCTGGGTGCTCTAAATTATTTTTTTGTTGAATGTACAAAGTTGGTGCTTTTAATAATTTGTGCAGCCTGGAAATTAGTATAGAAGGTTTTGGACTGGAGTGGTAATATGTTTGAAATATAGTATTACCTGTTTGTAATACATTTGATTTTGAGAATAACTTTACATTTGTTTGACATTTATATATTGTGGTGTTGATAAGCTGAAAAGTAGTTTGAAATTATACAACTTTTCTTACTTTTACTCAGCTAAGAAATCCCTTGAAACAGATTCAAGACCATTTACAAAGACCCACTCTCCACCGTATGGTGCAGGAAAGGAAAGTATTGGTAGGTGTTATTTATCATGTTAAGATTTAGGGTTTTTTTGTGAAAACTTTATCAGTTTATGAATAAAACGTGGCTCTCTTGTTGAATAATTATATCAAATTTCAAATATTGTTTTATCAAGATATGAAATTCTAAAAAATAGGATAGTTCCAAAAATTCTTTTGTTTAAAGAAAGTAATTCTGCAAAGAAAAAGAAAATAATTTTGTGTACAACTTCAAGAATACATTTGAAGTTTATCAACTAATAAGTATAATGAAGCTTTCTTAGTTACATTTTAAAAATAGTCATTGAAGATCAACTGTAGAAAAAAATGACAACTCAAATTACTTTCTGTTTTATGAAATATATAGTGTATTTAACGTGGACTTCTTATCATATTTCATATCTGAAGTTGAATAGGCCTATATAACAGAACTTGTCAAGACTTGTTCCACTTTAGGTACTATGCATTGTGCAGTTAATTGTAAATGTTGTGGAACATATTCTATTACAATTGTGAAATCATACAGTATCTTCAACACTCTTTATGTTTTATTAACAAATAAAAAGTTTAAAACTTATAGATACTGCTTCTAGTCTTTACCAATTTATCTGTAAATGTAAAGGCTTATAATTCTAGAATTAATGGTTTGATCTCTGTGGTGGACACAGTGCAGATAGCCAGTTGGCCGGGTATTTAGCATGGACTTCTTATCATATTTCATATCTGAAGTTGATTGCAGTGTTTGTGTTAGCATATAATCTGACACTTAGTTTCTGTTAAGCATTATGACTTTTTTTTGTTGTAGTTAACATATGAAACATTTTTCTACATGATTTATCTCTACCATTTTGGAATAGGTATAAAGTCGTCAAGAAATTAATGTTGCTTTTGTTAGATGAAAAAACCCGTACAACCTATATGTCAAAACAAAACATTTATTAAGTGAAGTAGTCTCCATTCTTATCAATGATGCTTTTCCATCTTACACTCAG